TCTCAATTGAAGCATGATTCTCTCGGAATTGATTATATCGATTCAACTACATACGATTGTCATCACAGTTTGCCTCCTTTTTTCATTTATTTTTATCTTGTTGCCCCCTTTTTTCTTGCAATTTCATTGACCGCTATGAACTCCCAGTATTGCGCGGACACGTTGATACCGAAATCTGATCCAGCATCTGCCAATTCTCGGTCTCCCCATACTCGGGAATCCCGCGCTGAGTGGGCCATTCCACAAACCTAGTGATCGTCATCCCTCGATCAACTGACCAATCTGTCTTACCGTTCTCGGCCATGAACCATCGTCCGAACAAAAGCTCACGATACTTTCTCAGACACAACCGCACCCACAATTGCACTTGGGGATTATGTGTCCAATGCCGCTCCATGCCGGTTCACCCCCCTCATCCCTGTGGCAAGGTTCTACCACTGTAATCCTTTGCATGGACTAGACCATGTACCATGGATCCTCCCAGGCATTGAATTGGATCTGGTTCACCCTGAAGTCATCGTGAAAGCAATCTAGAATCCAATGGCGGACCCATCAAGGTATCACGCGGTCGTCTTGATTTTTTCTGCTGGCCATGATTCGTATTTTCTTGCGCAGTACCTACGATGTTCGCTTTCGGTTGTTATGTCTTACTCCCCACGCGGTTTGCTCCCTCTGGGACTATAAACTCCAGGCCCTCCTCCGTAGATAGTATGGATACCCAAGCGATTGAGATTTTCCTTTAATCTGTGGTAGCATTTATTTCTGCTGTGCTATTTCTGTCTCGGTTCATCATTGGTATCTCTGTTTAATTTTTAGTGTCTCTTAATTTATCACCTCCGTAGCCATGCGCTCTACACTACCCCAGACGCTGTTCCAAGCAAGCCGTTCATGGCAACCAAGCACAACACTCCGCCCACTCACACGACTCTCATATTCCACAACCACTACTACCCATGGAGCGCATCACATCCAAACACGGATGCCTCCAAAGGAGTCAATCAAGAACGGGCATCGTTTTAAGGAATTCGACCTTAATGACCGCGTCTACGCCATCACCGGCGGCGGAAGAGGACTCGGTCTAGCCATGGCCGAAGCCCTAATGGAAGCCGGAGCCAAAGGTATCTCCCATCTTGTCCACCAAATTCCCCCCGGTCCCCATATTAACCAACCATGGTATCTAGTCTACTGCCTCGACCGCCTCGAAAACCCCCACCCAGACTTCATGGCCGCGAAAGAGCACGCAGAAACCAACTACGGCGGCAGCTGGAGTACTACCGAATTGATGTCCGCGACGACGCAGAAGTAAACAACGTGTTCGCTGAGATCGCCGGCCAACACAAGCGCCTGGACGGTCTGATCGCCGCAGCCGGAATCAACCACCTCCAGAGCGCCCTCGAGCACTCCCAAACCGCCATGAACGAAGTTATGCAGATTAACTACAACGGAGTGTTTAACTCCGCCACCGCCGCCGCCCGCCAGATGTTCAACTACCAGCAGAAGGGCTCCATCCTGCTCATCGCTAGCATGAGCGGCCTCATCGCCAACAAGGGCATGACCTCCCCTGTCTACAACTCCTCCAAGGCGGCTGTCATTCAGCTGGCCCGTTCTCTCGCAATGGAATGGGGCCGTCACGGTATCCGTGTGAACAGTCTGTGCCCCGGTCACATCGTCACCCCTATGGTCGAGCAGGTGTTCCAGCAGAACCCGGCTTCTCGGGCTATCTGGGAGGCAGAGAACATGCTTGGGCGATTGGCGTACCCTGAGGAATTCAGAGGCGCTGCGCTCTTCGCTCTCAGTGATGCTAGCAGCTTCATGACGGGGAGCACGATGCTCATTGATGGTGGTCACACCGCGTGGTAAATTCCAATTGTATATTGGTACATTCACAAAAACACAATCTTATCATATACATATTGTGGTGAACATTGGGGAAAAAAGGGTATAAATAGGGTTCAACGGGAAATCACGGATTTGTTTGGCGCGGATTGCTTGTATAGCCTTTTGGTCTTGTCGGAATCTTGAGCACGCGTGCTTTGTGTCGCATTCTATGCTTGCTGGTTTGATTGCATAGTTGGTTAATTGGGTTCTTCTAACATACCTTTTTTTATTTTTCGCGGCATGTATTTTGCATCGATATACATATGAGCTCATAATTTGTGATCCGATTGGTCTTCTTGCTTCAGTTATTGATCTTAAGGGTTGTTGTAGGGGTCTTGGGTGTCTTGTTATTGAACCTTTTGTATTATCCTAACATGTAAACGTGACATCTTATATCAAATCATACCCAGTCGCCATATGGTCAATGTAAACCTGTTTGTCTTAGATGATATACGTAAATTTTTCCTCCGCGCGACGTCCAATATTCCTCCCACCCATAAGCACCTCACTCTCCTCCCCACCATCCATCTCAATCTCAACTCCCTCTGCCTCGACCTTGCGACGAGCCCTCAGCAGTATAAGCCTCAGCACGAACGCCAAAACCGCCACAACAACCATGAAGAACGAACAAGTCGCCATCCCACGCACATACCATGGGCCATCAACACTGGGGTACAACCTCGTCCCGAGGAGCGGTCCACACTGGCCAATCACGTTCATGATGGCGATGCTCGCGCCTTTAGCTTCTTTCGCGACGCGGTTGTCCATAGTCCAGGTCATGATTATGGTGATAGCGGAGAAGAATCCCGCTGTTGCGGGGTAGACGCAGAGGTATCGAATGGTGGTGTGTGCTGTTGCGGGGAGGTGGGCGTGGAAGTGGCCTGTTAGGGCGATAATGAGGTAGGATGCTGAGGAGAGGAGGGCGTGCATGATGAGGTAGGGGCTTCTTTTGCGATTGCGGTCGGAGATGTAGGCTGTTAGGAGGACTATGACGAATGCGAAGAGGAAGGGTGGGGCGGAGAGGGCTTGTGAGGTTACGGAGGAATAGCCCATGCTGTTCACCTGTTAGCCTTGGGCGTGGGTAGGTATTTGTTTTCGCGTATGCTTACTCTTTGATGATGGTGGGGAGGAACACGGGCATGGAGCTGAATGCGACATTGCAGCTGAAGAACATGAACTGATGCATATGCACTTGTTAGTGGAGGGCTTTTTGGGTGTTGATGTGATTTTTATGGGGGCATACGGCTGTAATGTAGGACTTGGGATCGGCTAGCGTGGCTCTGACTTCCTTCCAGTTGAAATTCCCTCGACGTGGCTCGTGGTGATTTGGCTTGTTCTCTTCCATTCGCTGCTCGGCTACCATTCTCTGTCTAGGTCCGAGAAACCAGGCGCTGCCAGGTGAGTCTGGGATCAGGATCCAGGCAAAGACCGCCACGATCACGCTTGGAAATCCTTCTACTAGGAACAGAGTGCGCCAGGGAGCGATTGGGCCGTTGCTGCTCATTTTGACAATCACCCAAGCAAGGCTACTTGCAAACGACGAAGCCAGGGGTGCTGCAGAAATGAACAGTCCGTTTCGAAATGCGAGTTCTTCACGTTTGTAGAAGAGTGATAGGTAGAATGGGACGCCCGGGCCAAATGCCGCTTCTGTAATTCCAAGAAGGGCACGCAGGAGAACAAGACCCCCAAATGAAGTGGCTAGAGATTGGAAACATGCCACAAGGCCCCATCCGCATACGCATAGTGAAATGTAGATATGCGGCGGGACAAGACGATACATCAGAGTCATCCATTCGAAGAGGATATAGGTAATGTAAAATGCTGTAAGAAGCCATTCATATTGCGAAGATGAAAGCCTAAGATCATCTGTCATGCCAGCAATTTTGGCATTTCCAATATCTGAGTCGCTGTTAGCTTCCTGTATACACATCACCTGTGATTGGGGTGTAGTGATTTCGCTACTTTGACAACGTATGTCATCACTTACTGGATCGGTCCAGAAAAGAGAGTAGATAGAGTAACGCTAAGAAAGGAACTAGCCGGCGATCGAATTTCTTCACGATCTGCTTCTCTTCTATTGCCGTATACTTCGGGAAGCCCGTATCGGGCTTCTCCTCTGGATCGTCGTAAGAATCGTACCCATCGTCACGATCGTCTCTGTTGGCACCAAATTGCGTTTGCACTTTCAATGAGCCCGGAGGAGGGCGGCTTAGGGGTCCAGATTCATCCTCAGACCTGTCGGATACAGGCGTATACTGGACGGGTGAGGGCGATGTGTTACTGGACGTGGAATACGCGGCCTCGGTCGGCTGAGGGAACAAGGAGGCCATTTCAGAAAGCACGGAAAGTTCGCTGTTGGCAGCTCACGACAGCATCTCTCTTCAGACAGAATAAGCCACAATTGTAACTCTAGCTTTACAGCCCCTAGCCTGCATTTGGCGCACAACGAGGTTGTGTCGTGTTGGAGGACAGAGGGGATACAGTATTGCGTATGTATGGAATTTCCGATCAGGAGAGCGCACGTGGTGCACGCTAGCGTTGTGATTTGCGCCAAGACGTGGGAGAAGGAATTATATTGAAAGAGCATGCACTGTATTTCTCCTACCTATGGTACATTACGGAGTACATGCTTCATCCAGTCCTCCGCTTCATACTAATGTACAAACACATTACTAGATGAAAATGACTGAGTGACAAACAGATCAGAGCGCACCTAAACTCCCAGCAATCAAACCAGCCCATGTTAAGATAGTGTGCAAATGTATCCACCCCCAAGAGAATAGAAAACACACACGGCCTGAGGGTCATTTCCTAGGGCGGTATGAGTCGAGGGCCCGCCGCTTCCTCCTACGACTATATCTCTCGATACCTTCATCGAAATGCCTCTTTCGACCACCCGTAAGCTGTGTCGCTTTATCCCTGGCAATCAGGAAGACCTGCTCCACATCCGGTACAGAAGTATGGTCTGACAGTCCGTTTGCGTGAAGATAACGAAGAACATTTTCTGCCGTGTCTCGAAGAAAACGAACTGTGTCGAGGCTAACAAACCCCTCTGTTTGCAAAGCTTTGTAGTACTCATCCTTGGCGCGGTGGTAAACTTCCAAAAGCCTATCCATGCGGTCGAAAACTTGCTGTGCGTGTCCAGTTGAACTGATCTTCAAACCGGTCTGTTCCACGCAATAATGATCGTCTTGATCTCCGTATTCATATTCAGGTTTGACAGGCGCCTGGTCAACAAGCAACGTCTCAGGCTGCTCCTTACGATCGATAACTGTCTCCGGCGTGGTACCAAGGGCGGAAGCTAAAGCATCACAGTTAAAGAAGCTCGATAAATTGAAGAATACGAGAGTATGAACCTCTGTTTAGTACGCTTTCCAGCTCGAGCTGTTTAGCTAGAATAGCTCTACTCTGAGAGGTGGGCGAGATAGGGACAATCCCGAGAAATTCAGTTAGATAAAGCTCAAGTGCACCGGTTTCAGTCAAATTCTCCCCATTTCTGCTGAGCTCCAGTAGGGCCCGGTCGTAGGTGGTTATCTGGCCGTCCTCGAAAGACTGTGAGCGGCATTTAATCAGAGAGACCTGGCGTCGAAGCGCGCTGAAGAGAAGCGATGCCTGTTCCGGGCTCCCGAGAATTTCACGGAGAATATCATTGGTGCTTGGTTGATTAGTCCTGTAGTATTTGTGCACCAGTTCGTCGACGGTCCTTTCAGGGTCGGCTCTTCTTTCTCTTCGACTTTTCAAAGGAGATGGAAGCCAAGAGGATGCCATGGGTGTTGATTGATAAGGAACGTTAAGAACAGAGAAAATGAAAAGGGTGCAGTTGCCAAGGAAAAATATTGGTGTGTATTTAGAATTAATAAATCAGTATGCATTGAGCATGGGTGAAAGCAGAGCAAATAAAGGTGGCCTCCATGAAGCATACTAGAAACACAACAAAAGATCCTGTTGCTATAGAAGGTCCCAGCAACAGGGTAATTTCAGTCCTAATAAAGGTGAATGGTTGCCGTGACAAATGTGCACGATTACATCTCCGTAAATGATGCGATGTGGAGGGGAGATGTGAGTATACGGCATGCATTTGTGAAAAACACTGTAGCTTAGTCCTCTGTGGTTTGCACAGTATCCTGCATAGCAGAAAAGTGTAATGCAAAACCTTCTTGGCTAAACAAAAAGAGAAACAGAAACAGAAACAGAAACAAATTTTCTTAAACATTATGAATTAGCGATCATCAATATCTGCGATAAATAATGCTTATATATAAAGCGGATATCATCTTAGTACTGTCACCTGCAGGGATGCGAGCTAAAGCAGTAACCAGCACTCCTTGGAGACATTTTTCATAAGTCATAACAACCATACTGCCATCATAGCTCTTTCATGACATTTAGTTTTTCGCCTCCCAGAGTCTTTCAATTTCCTCCACGAGTGTAGAGACTTCACTGCCTTTCCCCTCCTTAGCGCAGTTCTTCCATTCTCCGTCATCGCGGACACACCAAACAGAGTCATCCAGTCGGACAGTACAACTCGTATGAACGTCAAGGTCTGCACTGTGGACGGCACTTTGACGCAACAATGCGAGACCACTTAAGTCGCCATTGCTAGGATCATCCTCCTGCCTGCTGACGCATCTGTTCAGAGATTCAAAATCAATACCATGTTGTAAGGCGCAATTTTGAACCAGTGGACGGTCTGGGATATCCTCGTATTGGCCGATAAGACAATTGGCAAATCCAAGAGAACGGATGGTGGGCATGCGAGTAGTTTTCTCGGTACCGTCAGGTGAGAAAGGGAGATCCTGAGCGCAAAGCATAAGCATGTCGCCAATGCATTCGCCAGGTCCATGTTTGCAATGTATATCAGATGATTGATTAGTGACGCTAAATGCCGGTTAGTTCCGTAAGCTACAATATTGTTTCGGGATCGTTGTGCCCACAGACCTTGCAATGAAGGACAACTCAAAATCGACTTTCTCACTTATCTGTTCCATAGCAGGAACGACCAGTTTCTGGAGACAGTCCTGGGCGTCTGGACATTTGCTCATGATATGAGCCTCAAGCGGGACCTTGTTACTTGATGCTGGCACAGGTGTCTCACCACCCTTCGGGGAGGATAAAATTGCACCAAGTTTTCCCCTCATCTTGTGACAAACAGAGAAATTGATTCCTGGGATAGCGAAGAGCATTGTGCTCAGCGTGAGCAACGATATGAAGCTCAGGGCAACTGCGAGTCGAGAAATGCGACCGCGGGTGGCACGTATCGGGATCGCATCGGGAGACGTTGGGATCTCAGCATAGTGGTATTGGCCATAAGGCCGATTTTCTGACTTCTCCATGATTACCATTTACTGGTAAGCCTTCGTTGTGAGATGTGACGGATAGCTATGTCGCGTAAGGGTTAAAGGAAGTGGAGAGAATCGATGGAGTCTGGTTACATGTAAGATTTAATCATCAGACACTAAATGGCCAATCATTACGCAATTCGTCTATCCTCTAGTCCTTTAAAAGAAGGGCCTTACCTAATTTATATAGAGCCTTCATACCGCCTACCAAAGTCGGATGCTAAACCTTAGTAAGGCGGTTCTTGATGCCGATATTTTCCTCATGACCGACCGCCTCTCCACTCATACTCTACCACGGTCCACAATACTATCTCTACCAAAATAGCTTCCTTAAGATCCGAAAACAATCTAGAGCCTCTGATCAATTTATTATTGACCGGAAAAAATTTTCTTGGACAGTATGGTGAGCCTGAGCTCCCAGCCCCGGCAAAGATAATATCAGGACGGAGAGTCCAAGAGCTCTGCCAGCAAATGCCGAACTCTGGTTTAGACTAGCCTGGGGCCCAGGGACATAGAATGGTTACCTATTTTAGCAGCTCTCGTTAGACTCCAAGGAACTTTGCCTTGCCTATCTTCTCCAACATTCTAGACACATATGTTCCGGATCAAAATACCATGATTCTCGGGCCTTTCGCTCTATAATTCAGAACTTCGAACACTTTTCTTCGTTTCCATATATGCAACGCCCTCAATCGAATGTTGGAATTACTGTATAGAGCCAGATTTCCATCGCTGGGATTGAAGCCCCAAACAACCCGAGCATAGTATGAAGCATTATAACCATTCAACCCGAGCAAATAGCTACTGCAGTCTCTTAATGGTCACCAGATAGTAAACTACAGAAGTACGCCAAATTTTCCGTCTTGAATTTAATAACACCAGTGAAGACCCAATTGTTGTAACAAAAGCGTGTTCCTTAGTTGACTATGAAAATATGGTGTATTAGAAAAGCGGTCAAGTTGAACGCACGCTTTGGTTTCCGCTACCATTCGTTAGTGAAATGAATGTATATCCTGGCTGTATTTAAACGCCAAGTAACCCTAGCATGTCTACAAGGTATGCAGGATAGCTTGGATCAGTTATGTGGAGTCGAGTTCCTGCCAATGCTTGATTGGCTTAAAACTATGTATATTCCTTGAATTTTGCTGTACGGCTTACGTCCATCCACACTGAGAAAATAGTTAAGGAAATTTTCTGCGATAGGTTCTCGTATACTAGTAGGACCAGATCTTTATGATATCCACATATAGATAGGCCCACTTTTCATGTGTCTTTCCTCTTGTTTTCTTACATTTTTTTTGTGTGTTTGGATGTAATTCCATCTCTGTCATGCCAGTACATTCCGCAAGAATATCCATTTCCTGTACACCTAGTCGGGAGAACAGCGCATCATGTCCGATAATATCTCTTCCTTATCCCTTCTCCATGGCCCCTCCGAGCCAGCCCTAAAATCATACTCTATTGGTCAACTCCTCAACCAGCAGGCAGCCCACTTCCCAACCAAGGAGGCAGTCATCTTTCCAGCCGAGAGTGTTAGATATACCTATCAAGAGTTGGATTCAAGGGTACGAACTGTTTCCCGCGCACTCATAGCGCATGGAATCAAAGCCGGTGACCGCATCGGCGTCTTCTGCGGCAACTGCGTGGGATATGTAGACGTTTTCCTGGCAGCAACTAGAATCGGGGCGACTACAGTATTGCTCAATAATGCATACTCAACTACGGAATGCTTCAATGTACTCAGAACTACCGGTAAATGATTCATTGTCCTTTTTCCACCCGGGAAAGACCATCTTATATAGTTACATAGGCTGCTCGTTGCTTTTCACTGCAACACATATCGGACAGCGTGACTTGGCCTCTTGTCTGAGGGTTCTTAAAACTTCGTTAGATGGGGACGAACTCCCTGATTTGAAGCAAATTGTTCTGCTAAAGACGGTTGGCAACATCCTAGAGCAGTTCCAGTCTTTTGATAACTTCCTCGGCCAGTCGAGCACAATACCAGACTCAACACTCTCTGAGATAGAGCAAAAAGTCCAAGCCGACCAGACCTGCACTTTCCAATTCACAAGTGGCACAACCGGGGCCCCGAAAATCGCCATGCTGACACATAAGTATTACTCCAGGACTTGAAGACTTCATCCCTATGATACTGACATGTGAGTAGGAACGTCATCAGCAATGCTTATTCCATCGGCCACCGTCTACTACTATCAGAAAAAGATATAGTCTGCTGTCCCTACCCTCTATTTCACATTTCCGGACTAGTAATAGGCCTTCTTTCCTGTCTGGCATACGGAGCCGCTATTGTATACCCGTCACCCACATTCGACCCCTCGGCCGTACTCAACGAAGTCGTGCGAGAAAAGTGCACAGGACTTCACGGTGTGCCGACCATCTTCATTGCTCTTCTGGAGCGGCATTGGCAGCTCAAGGCTGGCCCAATCCACCTCAGAACAGGTCTCATAGGCGGTGCACCAATCCCCGCAGCTTTACTTAAGGAGATGCATAAGGAATTCGGGTTCGAAGATTTGACGGTGGCTTACGGTAGGGGGAGAGTTCCTTGTCCGCTTAGTACTTTACTTTTCTAATACATGAACTAGGAATGACTGAAACATCCCCGATCAGCTTCATGTCTCGATCAGCAGATCAGCCAAGTGATGCGGTAGTGCATAGAGATATACTTCCTCACACGTTTGCCAAAATAATCGACTCGGCGGGGAATGTAGTATCACGAGGAACACGCGGTGAACTCTGTATCGTGGGGTCTGGAGTGCAGAAGGGATACTATCAAAATCCTGAGAAGACTCTTGAGGCGCTTAAAACAGACCCCTCTGGGGTTGTATGGATGCATACGGGTGACGAAGCGGTTCTGGATGCACAAGGACATTGTGTCATCACTGGTCGGATTAAGGATATTATCATCCGAGGTTAGTACATACCTATAGCGCCTCACATATTGATCTGGTAACTAATATCCTCCAGGAGCGGAGAATATCTATCCGGCAGAGATTGAAGAACACTTGAACAAACACCATGCCATTTCTCAGTCCTGTGTCGTCGGGGTCAAACACGAAACTTTGGGCGAGGAAGTAACAGCTTTTATTCAAAGCACTCCTGGCCAGCCTCGTCCTTCTGGTTCTGAGATCATTGAGTGGTTGCAAAAAAGCTTGGGAGCCCAGAAAGTACCCACGTGGATCTTTTGGTTGGGGGATGACGATGTGCCCTTTGTCTTTCCGATTACTGATAGTGGGAAGATTCGGAGGAATGAGATGACCAATGTGGGAAATAAGCTGGTTGGAAAATATAGAGAAAGTAACAAACTCGATGGTGAACAGTGTTAGCTGTACATGGTAGTACTTAACAGTAAGCTATATTCAGTTCATCTCTTCATAAGACCAGATTGAGACTTTTACAATACGGAATAAATTTCCGGGTAATCCACAATGAGGCCAATCTCTTGTGGAAAAAATGGAATATGGATTCGAGTGAAATTCTAGAAGCTCGTAAATGAAGGAGTGGATACTCGTTGAATATGCCGTCATCTTCAGGTCCGGCAAAAGTCCGATGCTGCGGTAAAACTCCGGACTGTAGCTATCGATATCCAGAACTATATAAAGCCCTATAACTATCCCATCAATGAAGATGACAAATTAATATATATATTCAGACAGATTCGAAGCCTTTTAAGATACAACCCAATAACAATGGCTAATATTCATTCTACAACAAGTACGTCCCAACCAATATGAATAGATCCCACCACTGACATGACCAGATCTAAGCTCAATTAACAATGGGTCCTTCCCCTCAAATGGTTGCCCATTCAACTCAAAAGAAACAAGATTAGAGGCACTCTCTTCAAAACCCCCACTTGAATCAATTCTCAGCACCTACGACTTGGAAAAGGTCGCCTCCCAAGAACTAAGCCGTAAGACGTGGGCATTTTATTCATCCGCAGCTACGGACATGATCACACGTGATGCCAATAAAGCCATGTATGATCGTATCCTACTCCGGCCTAGGGTCCTCCGAAATGTCAATAAAGTCAACACCCAAACTACCATTCTCGGATGTGAGACCGGCCTACCCTTGTTTGTCAGTCCCGCAGCCATGGCGAAGATGGTGCATCCGGACGGCGAACTGGCGATCGCAAGGGGTTGTGCGAAATATGGTGTTGGCCAATGTGTGAGTTCTGCTTACATTGAAGATCCGTTTATACCGTCTGATGATGTATATAGATATCGACGAATGCATCATACACAGTGTCTGATATCACAGCCTGTGCGCCTGGTCACCCTTTCTTTTTCCAGCTATATATCAATCGGGACCGTGCTGCATCGGAGCAGCTTCTTCGACAGGTTGAAAAAAGTGGGATTAAAGCTGTTTTTCTCACAGTTGACGCGCCGGTTGCAGGGAAACGGGAAGCGGATGAGCGTGTCGGGGCTGATTCCTCGGAAATAATATATACAGCACCCATGACCGGGGCGCAAGGTGTTGGTGATGCAAAAGGCAGTGCGCTAGGAAGGACAATGGGAAGATATATTGATGCTAGTTTCACGTGGGAGGACCTGAAGTGGCTTCGACGGTCAACATCCCTGCCTATCGTGTTGAAGGGTATTCAGACGGCTGAGGATGCTTGATGGCAATGGAACACGGGGTCGACGGGATTGTTGTGAGCAACCACGGTGGGAGAAGTGTAGACACGTATGTTTATACCATATGTACCGGTGGAGTACAGCTAACTCGAGTGAGCAGGTCGACATCATCGATAGCGGTATTGATGGAAATCCGTCAATGCTGTCCCCAAGTATTTGAGCATCTCGAAGTCTTCGTCGATGGTGGGATCCGTCGCGGGACTGATATTTTTAAAGCTATCTGCTTGGGAGCTAAAGCCGTAGGTATGGGAAGGCAGTTCTTGTACAGCCTCACATATGGACAAGAAGGTGTGGAGCGTTTAATTGAGAGTATGTCCTGGCACTTTCCCACCCGAGTATTGCTGCTAACGAACGCAGTCATGAAAGACGAACTGGAGACCACAATGAAGCTGTTGGGCATTACAGACCTCTCGCAGACACATCCCGGGCTCCTTAACACTCTTGATGTGGATCATTTGATTCCAAAAAGACTTGGGGAATCGTACAGCGGGCCGGTAGTCAAGGCGAGATTGTGATGGTCATACAGCTCATTAGGGGAACATAAGCAAGCATCTATACCAGTACATATTTAATGAAAAAGTTGAAGTGCATAGAATAGAAATCCTGGTCCGACTGAGGGACTATATACCCAGTTCAAAGTTATCTGCTGCCATCTGACCGAGAAGTGTCTCATCGAGTCCGAAACCAAAAGTCCCTCCAAGATCGTAAAAATTATAATCCCCTGCCCAGAAAGCATTGCCGTCGTTAGATTCAGAAGGTAGAGCAGGGAAATTATCTATATCGTCTCCTTCTATCCGATTACTAAGTTCGGTTACGTCACTCTCATCTAGAGCACGGAATTGCTGCAGCATCTCAAGCATTCCTGTCGCTATATGTTTCGCAAGATGTCGTTCATTGAGGCTCATAGCAACATTACCCAGCATGTCTGCAGAGCGCTGAACAAGAGAGACAATATGACTTGTATTTACGGCCAGACCGAATTGCGTCGAGCTCTTCCCCCATGTGGCAGCCATTTTCAAAAGAAACGTTGCGCAGAACGCAACCATGGTATAGGTAAATATGGGAACACCAGGAAAGGCACGCCGAAGGTCCTCATCTTCTAATATCAGGGTGAGCGTACTTATAGCCGCCGCAATGGCTGCATTGGCGGCCTCCCGATGCGCCAGTGATAAAGGACTCTTAGAGGTAAGTTCAGGATTAGAGGTCAGGCCAGAAGGACTAATACCACGCAAAGCTAGGGAATTCAACTGGAAGCGGGCAAAGTGATAGTACAGTACCAAGGCTTTTGATGGATAGGACCCCAAGGTAGCACAGTCCTTTGAGCGGGGTTGCCACTGGAGTCTCCACTGATCAATTGCCACGTTAGAAACCCATAGCTTATCGAAGTCTTTGTCTTCTAACAATCGGTCTGGTTCATTCCCAAAGGCTACGTAGGCCTCTGTTAAAATAGCGAATAGTGCTACCTGTGCGGCCAATCTCGCATCGCCAGGATTTACCTCTGCCGTATGCATGAATCGCTCAATATTTCGGATTGATTCATCATCAACCGCCGCCGGTGGACGACCATGGGCGATACTGAACTGATGATCACAGACATACGTTGCGTACCAAAGACAGACACGATCACGCTGCGTGTCATCTCCCTGTATTAACTTTTGATACGATTGGTGTAACCCAATCTCGGCGGCAATCCGCGTGGCCTGTCCTGACAGCTTCCAGCTGAGATTCGCGAGATAAAATGCGCCAATACAAAGCGCCCGAACATCATCGACACTATGATTGCGAGACAGCGACGAGCTGCAGACAAGCGAGACAAACACGTCATAGCTCTGGTGAAATGTTTCGGTTTTCCCAGGAGTATGTAAGGCACCAATGGTGAGAACAACGGCTGCCAGCAGTGTTGAGGCACGTCGAACAGAATCTAGTGTGCGATGGTACGGCAGTATACCATCCCACAATAATCTATTGTTGATACGCATGAAACGATCAAAGAGGTATTCGGCCTCTGCAAGTGTGACCACCCCTTGAGAGATGAAGTCATCATGAATCAAGGAGGACTTCGGCTTCCATCCTGCATTAACACGCAGGTTCTTCAGCCTAGTAAGCTCGTATAGATTGCGCATAGGCACTGTAACGAGACCAGATGAATTTTCTTCTTGCAACTGAGGGGAGTTTTCTCTTGACATGTCCATTGCAGCCATGGAGGTCTGGCTTACATTCTGGGAATCCATGCGAGGGCGTGGTGAGCCGACTACTTGACTATTGGAGAATGTCCATAGCTCCGGTTGCTTGGTTTGCTGTAAGAGATGATTCACAGCAGCCCGTAGAAGTGCAATATCTGCCGTCGTTTGTGTTTTCCAGCTGCAGTGTGTTAGAGATAAGATTGATAAGGTGAATTTGATCTTACTCACGCCGAGTCCTCCTGTAGGAATTGTTGAGATATGTCATGTGAAATACACTCTAATTCATAGCGAATGCATCTATTACATGATGTTTCACCTGGCTTTGTTTCACATTTCGTCTTTTGCTTCTTGCATTGCATGCCTGTAGTATTGGGTCGTTAGCACCGCTGTCGGCCGATAGATTTCTCGACTTACACACTCGACTCCTTGTTAAGCGTAGGCCTTTCCTACTCGGGCCTTGAGACTCTTCATCTTCATCTGAGCGCTGCCTTTTTCTCGGCATGATGGCGGTGCATTATAATTGGTGAATGATGTTAAACGGTCGGGGTGCAGGCAGTGCTCAGGTGCCAGCCCTGAGGTACCCAGTCAGTGCCCAGCTGGGCTGATAAAGTGGAGGGGTTCCCGAAGTAGTCTAGCGTGACATGGATGGTTTGCATATGGCTTGACCCAAAGTACTGGTAAGTAAAGAAATTTTGTTACCATTTTGCAGAACGGTTTAAAGCTGATTTGTGCGAGTGGTGAAAATGATGCTAGGATAAAACACACGATGGATCGATATATGCATAAGGTGCAAGAGCGTGAACTCAACCGGATGCATACATTCTTGCGACATCGAAACTACTAGAGAGCTGATCATTATCTTGTTGTGCTAGTATACGTAACACTCAGGTTAAATATTGATAGTTGTTAATTACAGCATTAGCTAGTAGTATTTAGGGTTTGACGCTGGCTCTCACGAGCGTCAAGAGGGGTCCTGTTCCCAAGTGGTACTCCTGATTATTTTGTCCGAGGATGATGATTAATGCCCAAGGACTTAGCATTATATCGCAGTCCAATCATAGGATATAAAGTGGGATTTGAGGTATATTTCAAAGTCCGCGGTACATTATAATGGCGTGGTGGCTGTTCCTGGCAGTCTTGTGACTTTTTACCAAATGAACCATGCCAAGTCAGAAACTCCTTAGACAAACAGTCAGTCAAGGAGAAGCAATCAAAACTAGTTTAGGAGTCCGGTGGCAGGACACGATTCATAACTCTGTTAATACTCAACACCGGCCTTCCTCCAGATATTTGGCGTATGCCCTTACTTCAGCTCAAACGAATCCCGAGTTCTTTTGTGAAAAGGGATATACCGAGTATGTAGAGCTACTAATATGAAATACAGAAGTGAGCACAATCTACAGAATCGTTTAGTAGTTGATTGGATGTTGACACGCCGATTATCAATATCGGTCATCTCTGGAAACCGGGGCGAAGTCAATCAGCTGTCATCGCGAGTTCTTCCGAACCAACATCATCATTGTTGCATGCTAGACAGTGATTGCGTGGGGATATTCGCAGTCCGAAGACTAGGTGTCGCCTGCGACACGCTACTGCATGCTACCTGGCAATAACATCATTTTCAATAAACCAGGAGGCAGACTGGAGAAACTTGCCCGAGTCGTCCACATCGCCAGGAGGGGGTGATGAGTGACGTTCGGTGAGCTAGCGTCCTGCTAAACGCATTCGATCACCGGCTATATACCGAGACCCTAGGATCTACGCAATGTTAGAGGGTGCCGCCCTCTCACCAGTGTTGACCTAAAGCTCTCCGATTTCGGAGGCAGGCTAAGTCTATGTATAACTCCATCCAAGAGACAGACTTTCAGTCCACCTTATTTGGGACAAATGCGCTTCCTAAAAGGCTGGCAGTGGCCCTGAGGGTTCCTGATTCAGCCGAAACATATTCGGGACTTGACCACACAACCTTTCTCTGGAGCTCTCTCCATGACCCACATGATACGATGGCGAGCACCAATTTGGCGATACTAACGATAGTTTTATGGCGATACAAAAGTTCCTCTCGTGTCCACAGCCTTCTGCAGGTTCTCGGCTCGAGTGAACGCCCAACAAGGCGGGCAAGTCTCAACGAGGATAGGGTGATCGCTTTTCCGCCTGGGCTTTGTTTGGCACGGCGTGTCCGTACATGAGAAACCTTCGTGCCATGTCACCGGGAAGGTCATGGCGCCGGTTGATCCATGCGAGATTCAACAAATTAGGGATCTTTGACAAGATGAAAGGGTCTAAAACGCGCGGCATCTAACTTGACGTTAAAAGTCAGTGCGTTTTAATACCGGAGGTCGGTAGAGGTTGCCCTGCCCCACTGTCTTCCACATGGTCGGTCTGTTTAATTATCCAGACGTTTGGTGCATTTTCTTTTTATTTTATGTTTTGCTTTTTTTTAACTGCTCGGAGTAGGGCTTGATTTCCGGTCTGAACATCAAAAACGTAGTTGATTTCATTGGTTGCACTCAATATAGTTTCTTTAGTGAGTCACTTTTGTAGTTCCAATTAAGGAAGATTGATTACAGAGAATTTAGTTACATTGCAATATGCATTGTCTTGCTCAAACTTTGTTAATTATTATTGTTAGATCGCCTTTTTTTTGGTTTCTTTTTCTTTGCATTGAGGAAAAGAGGGAAGGGTGATGATTGTTTAGGTAGCATCTAAAAATGACATCAGCAGGCATACATACAATTAATCCGAAATGGTAACCGTGATAGTAGTCCACTAAAAATAACAAGCGGGAGGGGAGGAGGGGGATTGACCAAAGAACTCGATAAACGAATAAAATCCAAAACAACATGACCCGAGAGAAGAAGCTCCTCCGAGACGCTCCGCCGGGGGAGGTGGATAGAAGAAGTAAAAAGCATCATCCGGTGGTACTGTACCAATTGTACCAATGATACGACTGACCTCCAGCGTCACATCGTTTGGGAGATGGTCGCATTTGTTCCGTCCAACGGCAGTGGCTCTTCTATCTTACTATCAATCATATTAATCAACTTGACTAGCCCTCGTCTTTTTTTCCTTTTCCTGTCTCCATCGTGTCATTATTTTTCGCTCGCTCCTCTCTCTCTCTCTTTCACTCCCTATTTCATTTTCTGGGCCTCGTCTCCGGTGTGGAGACCTGGCCATGAATTCCCCGTATCCACTGGCTAGTCTTGTTTGTTCCTTTTTCTTTTGGACTTAACTTCGCATGATCGTGCTAGTTTAAATATAGTACTTAATTGACTCCTTCCCTGTCTTCTCCGTCATACCTACTGTGTACCCACATCTACTGTAACATTTTACACTCACACTCACTCTCTACTGCTGCCTTCAGCGACATCAACAACTACTACTTAGAGTCTGCTACTCTTTCACTTGGGTGAGTGCAACCACCTTGTGCAAGGTAAGTAGTTTACTATTTTCTTATGGGTCTAGTCATCCTCCCTGATAAGGTTTTCTTACTTGGTGCGTGCGTTGAAGCTCCCTGCATTATGATCGTCGAGATTGTTGCTTTTTGTTGTCCCCCCGCAGGATTTTGCTCTCCATCATTCCACTACAAATACGCGTCATCACAGTTGACAGCATTGGATGTCTACATTTTCTCTTTTCTGATTTACTGCGATACCAAGACTGACGTTTGTTTCTCATATTCCAGTCCATAGCGTACGATTGTGAAAGTGCCCCACACGCTTGACTGCGCTCCGTATTCACTCCTGATCGCAAGTGGAATCTCAAATAAGGTTACTCCATAACTCCCCCGGATTCCTTCGAGGCATGCACCTTATCGCTCAAACCCCAGTCTTCATTCCGGTCCCTTAGATCTTTCCCACTCATAAACATTCCGCGATACAAGAGCAAATAAACACAAAAGCCCAAACCCCGTCCCCTACAGCGACTTGACCGGACGACTTGTCTGCCCACAAGTCGCACAAGTCGACTTCCTCCTGTGCGCAATCATTCTACGCTTCCGCTCTCCGTAGAATTTCCCCTGATTCTTCCTTCGAAGTTTCGTCTTGCAATGGCTCCGATCACTACGGTGGCTGCGGAAATGAGGAAGCAAGAAGAATATGATGATATACACGAGGACCCTATCGAGGATGAGGAGGATGAGGGTTCCTACCTAGACCCTTCTCAGATGGAGTACCTGGAGCATCATCGCAGACTTGATCAATTCCTATCACCGTTGTCTCTCGATGAAGCAGTTCTATACAAGCTTGCGCGTCGCTTCTCCGGTGTGTATCGTGATCTGGCCCTACACTCCGAAGAACAGTTTCTACCGACACCAGTGACGCATCTGCCCACAGGCTTGGAGACAGGACGTTATTTAGCCATCGATGTTGGGGGAACTAACTTACGAGTCGCGTTCATTGAGCTGTTGGGGGATGCTGCTAATTCTGATATCGGGCCCACGGACGCCTTAGAGCAATCGACCACCATTCGCAGAGCACAAAGACAGCGCGTGAGACGAACACTAGAGAGAGCGTGGCCTATCCAGGAACATTTAAAAATGGACAACGCGGAGGACCTGTTTTCTTGGATTGGTGATCGTATTGCGGAAGTGGTAGCCGAAAGTTTGACTTCGGATGCTACCAAAGGCAAGGTCCCCGAAGAATTAGAGATGGGAATCACCTTCAGTTTCCCGATAATGTAAGTTCGTGTGTGATATTGGTCACACTGATTACGGGTGCCACAGGTGGTGTCTGCCAATGTGGTACCGAATGTCGAGCTATATACAGCTAACAGCTATTAGGCAAGAATCATTGTCGGAGGCTACGTTGATGCCGATGGGTAAAGGTTTCGCCATTACATCGGATCTCAACCTTCGCAAGATTCTTCTTAGTGGCTATGAAAGACACACAAGACGTCCGGATGATGAAGATGAACCTTCTTCCAAGCGCCGAAAACTTTTCGCTCTACCGAAACTCAAGATCACTGCCATCACGAATGACGCCGTTGCTACACTTGCATCTTTGGCTTATGCTGTCAAGTCGTTGCCTAACAGCCGGGTCGCTATGGGTATAATTGTAGGTACGGGATGTAATGCGACAATTCCGATGAAACTGAGTTCTTTGCATGAAACGAAGGCCAATCATGTGAAGTCGAAAGATTCAGAGGCAGTAGAGACGGTCATCAACACTGAATGGACCCTTGCCGGCAGCGCACCTCCCTTGAAGGAACTCGAAATCATAACTAAATGGGACATTGAACTAGACAGGGCATGTGCACGACCTGGTTTCCAGCCATTTGAGTACCTGACTGGTGGTCGATACATCGGTGAACTTATCCGGCTCATCCTTTTTGACTATCTCACCAACGTTAAGGGATTATCTTCGAAGGAACTACCTGCGAATCTTATTCAAGAGTATGCATTAACTACTACATACATTTCAGATAACGTCGCTCGCGCTCGGTCGGACCAGGAACTTGCGGACGGATTGAATCACTCTCTACCCCCACCGGAAAGTAGTGAGTGGCATTGGGATGCTGTGTGCGCCGGTGCCTTTCGGAAGATTGCTCGGACTGTACAAAAACGAGCTGCTGGTTTGATTGCTGCGGCAGTAGTAGGGTTACTTGCCTGCGCGAACGAAATTGAGTTGAAAGTGGAGAGCACCGAAAATTCACCACAGCCCTCCGGCGCTGCATCTCCTGAACATAATGGCGGGGCCGACGTCTCTGCTGTAACAAACTTCTTATCGCCATCTACGTTACAAGTGCCCACAAACGCCCAAAGAGGCAACAGGCCGATTGTCCCGGTTTTATCGCCTTCGCCTACGCCGGCGGATTGGCAATCGGGTCCTGAAGAGCTCGTCGTCGCTTACACAGGCGGAATTATTCAGCACTATCCTAATTTCAAGACTATGTGTCAGCAATTCATTGACCGTCTCATCATGAGAACTGGGCCTCAGAAGAGCGGGAAATCGGTCTTCCTACGCGAAGTTTCAGACGGTGGTGTCATTGGCGCTGGAGTTCTGGCAGGAATGGTAGCTAACCGGTGATCCATGAGCAACACCTCATCTCTTTGATTTATGCGATACGATCTTTATATTTGTAGAATGCCTCCTGATGAGCGCTATGGTCTATTGGAGTTCACAATTTTGTCTGGGCGATAGAGGCGCTTGTTTGATTGAGTAAGGCGTTCTATAGTGGTCCCTTGCTTCCTAACTAATCTTGCATTATTGTCTATTTGACATGGCTACCGCTTCATTTCAAATTGCGTTTATTAGATTGATGGACTCTTAAATCGAGCATCTCGACCAGTTCTTCAACGCAGTAGATGGGAAAAGCCGCTCAGCGCATGAGGATTATCTGTATTGGTTAGAAAACATGATTTGGGTGATTGGAGTAAGTTCCTGGTGTCGTATGGCCTTCTGTGGCACCTAGCAAGAGAGGTGCTGCCATAGATCCTTATCCAGCATTCATTTGTGCTTTGAATATAGAACTTTTGCCACCATTCAGGCCAAAATACAGGCTAATCTGACATAGGTAAAGCCCAACAGCAGTCTCTTCAGCTTCATCTTTGTGGCGCTGATCCTCATGAGGTGGCTGAATAGTCGGTGGTCGTTCAAATATAGCGGAACATGTTATTTCGAACACTTCGCTTCATGGCACTAGGCTTGCCATCTTCATATTCTATCCCAGCGGCTCCTCCCCCGCCAGACATCTGCTCTAATTTTTGACGAAGTTCCTCGTCCGCCTGCGAAACAGTCCTGGCCTTTTCTGGCTTCACTTGCTTGCCAGTTTGGAATGTTGAACTATCTTTTGACACGATCTCTGGCTGTTTGCTTGATTCATAATATGTATCTGCTGGTCCCATTAAGCCGACGATCTTTAAGATCAATACCAGTGTCTAGACAAACCATTCTTAGTATCGGATAGCCACTGCGTAGTAAAGGATAGTTGTCTCGATGGAGAATATATCAATCGCATTGGTAGGAACCTCGCAGGATTCCGCAATAGTGAACGTTTCCACATTTGGCTGATCGGAGCACCAATTTCAGGAATTATCATTGCTATAAATTGTTTTCACGAAATCAATCATTGATGTAATTTGATGTAATGATCTGGATATTGATCACATGATATCAATTCTATATCACGTGCAGATACTCCCCACGACGGGGCCATATCACTCAGGCAACTCTCACCAGCTCCTGTCACCCCAACTATCTCCCTCGATCGCTCCATACTCGGCACCATGAGCAACGCACAAGCGTATTACGAGCTTTATCGCGGGAGCAGGTACTAACTGGCTAATGTAATGTGCTCAAACATTCACTAACCCGTTTCCTATTACAGCCTGGGCCTGTCCCTTACCGACACCCTCGATGACTTGATCAATGAAGGCCGAATCGAGCCCCAGCTCGCCATGAAGATTCTTTCCACTTTCGATCGAGTGATTACCGAGGTTCTCGCAGACAAAGTGCGCGCAAGGCTTACTTTCAAGGTAAATATATCCTGCGGAACACCGTATCAGAGAAGTCCCGCCAGCCTCGTCTATCGAATATCAAAGATTAACACGGTTTCTCTCTCCCAACAGGGCCATCTGGATACATATCGCTTCTGCGACGAAGTATGGACATTCCTCATCAAAGACGTCACTTTCAAACTGGACAACCAGACGACTGTGCAAGCAGATAAAGTCAAGATTGTGAGCTGCAACAGCAAGCGCCCCGGCGAGGCATAGTGACCTATCGTTCCCAGATATTCATGGCTCTTTGTGCTTTATTTTGTTCCCTTGGGTCCTGTTTTCCGGACCGGCGTTACGATAATGTCAGCATCGGGTTGACTGGGGCATGGATTTCTTGATATTAGGGGGTTTTTTATGTGGCGTTGGGGACATAACATTGACTGCATGTGTATTACAAATCTTGCTGTGCAAACGGTGCTTAGAACAAATCGATACCCAAGATGGACGCGGGTTTTTTACAGTATGTTCTGTACGGATAGGAAGTAAAATCTTCTGATATCCAGGTAGTGAGCTTTACTCCCAGGTTGAGTTGCCCCTCTACTCCAAATGGATCAGGTCGAGAGGACATTACCTTACTACATTCAGTAAAGTGATCATGCGGAGGCGGGGCGGAAGCCTCCCGCGTCCCGTCATCTCTTATCGCGCCTCATTCGCGTCACACCTTTGCCCACATTCAATCTGTCCAAGACCAAAGAAGGGTGAAACGAGAATGACACGCGATTTCATCTAGTCTAGTCGCAGCTCAACGTCCCTGAACCTCAGACAGGATGCCTCGCACGCTACCATGGCTCACCGGCACAGGAAGCAGCAAAAGCAGCAAGAACCCCACGCCCAAACGAGTGGTAAAAGACAAAAGCGACAAAAACAATGACGGCAATGCGACTCCCAGAGCGAGCGCGCCCGATTCTAGTCCAAAGAAACGAGACTTCTTCAGATCATGTATAGTGTACCGAGGGGAAATGGGACGCATCAAAACTAACAATCTAGTATAGCCCCGACTCCGCCATCATCTCCCATTCACCGCCGTCCATCTGAAGAGTCCGTTTTCCTTTACCCTTTCCGCTAGCCAAGCTCAAGGGAACCGTTGTTAATATGGGCGATCGATTATAATTAGGTTTTTAATCGAGGGTTTGTCGAACGATGACATTTACATCATGGTCGAAGACGAATTCTACGCCGTGGCCCAATCTTTTACGCAGCATCTTCACTATGCGGAATACGCGAAGCGAAAGAAGGAGGTCAAATTACAAAATGCTGCGGCGATCCAGAACCTGGCCCGGCCGACCGATGGAGTAACGCCTGTTAGCGACGTTACCAGACGGAGAGATGCTGCTGATGCACTTTCTGCACGCCAGAAGGCTGGGCTGGAGCGGATACAGAGTAAGCGGCCGCGGGTGGATTCCGAAGAAGAGAATGAAGAGGTTGAGGATGAAATGTGGGCGGGGACATCGCTGCATGGTCTCATGATGAGTCCTAGGAAGACAAGGTCATTGGTAGGTATGCAGGGGATCAAGTCATCGACCAGGGCGGCTGCGGGATTTTCACAATCATCTAGCACGGGGAGGGATTCAGGAGCAATTAATAGTTCGCCACCAAGGATATATGAAGCAGCCATAAGTATTGATGTTGACGAAACAGCTTCGGAAGACGATGACTTAGATCTACAACACGAAACACCGAGGCCTACTCAGAAAGCACGTCTCATTAGTTCTGATTCGATGTCGTCGAAATCTCAACATAGCCCTTTGACCCCTGCAAAGGACCGGGGGAGAGAAGTGCAGTCTATCAATGCTAGATACAAGACACCAACCGCTACCCAACCCAGGAGGAGATTGCTTTTTGATGATGATTTTGATGAGCTGCCAGAGCTACAACATTCAGACGTACAAGTACACGGTCGAGGTTCTTCACCGTCTATCAGGAAAGCCCGACAGGAGAACCCACCCCGTGGGAACAATCCACAGTCGAAGAAATCGCGTCTCAACGAAGTTCCAACTTTCCTGCTTTGAATCCACAGATGGTTTGAGCGCGATGATTTCACAGCCAATCCGGTCCCCCTTGATTCCAATCTGGTGGCACAACTTCTAAAGTTCGGTAAGCCAGACATTCCCATGCCGGCTTTGAGCGAACGGCCTCAGTCTTCGTGTTCTGAAACTGGCCGGGCTACTCTGACACTCAGTCTTCGGACATTGTTCTTGATCCGTTGGCGAGTTGAGGGTTCACGCTCCAAGGTCTTGATCATTGCATCCTTCTCGAGGGAAGAGCTGTGGCTATGTAACGTTTGAGCACTGTGAACGGTATTGTCAGAAACAGTCTCCCGAGGTTTGGTGCTAACATGTACTGACTCGTCATCTGGGAAGAACGTCGGCATTTCCTCCTTTCGGAAATTTGTTGGGGGCCCCTGAACCCGTTGTCAGTTGCATTTTCCAGATCAAATCTTAGTTTCAAGACCTTTACTTACGATTTCCAATGCCTTGTGATGCGAGTCACGCTGGAATGGGGCCTTGACCAGTCGACCAATCTGCCGGAAGCACTCCATAATTTCAAAGCTGGAGATTTCGGAAGGAAGAAAATTCGTAGTCAATTAGGTCGAATCGAATTGAGATGCAATATGCGCTGGATCGACCACTATCTACCGCAGGATCGAAACAAGCAAAGGACTAAAAACCGGTATCGCAAAAGACAAAAGGGAGTGGACGCTTTCTGCAAGATATTCTATGGAAATGAAGGACGCGGTCAGAATGAAAGAGAGACGATGGCCCGAAAGAAGAAAGGTACTAAAAACAGAACGAAAGACAAGACTGGCGGATGTTCTATGACATCGGAGACGCTGGCCGGGGAAGAAAAAGACAAACCTTTTGACACAATGGAGGGAGGCAGGACGATGATATATACCGAGATTCTTCGAAAGAAAAAAAACTTCGCCAGCCAGCTAGATGAATTAACGGTTTCGCCCGTGCAAAATGCAGACTTAACCCGATCAGCACATTCTGTGGCATGAAGCCAACAGTGACAGCCTTATGTTCCTTTCGTACCGCGTTATGTGACACATTCCTTTGGCAGTTATCCCCTCGCAGCAGAAAAAAGCGGGTATCTCTCTCAGGGCTCAAGGTGACTTGGCCGAATGAAATGGCGTGAATGGTTTTTCCCTTTTTTCGAAAATTAAGATTATACTATTATTTTCTTTTTTGGTCCCCATCCCCCTTCTTGCCTCATTTAACCGCTTAATACAGTAACATGCATGCAAGAAATGCTGGCGTAACACTTGTCTGAGGCAGGCAAGAGCCTATCGGCGACAGCGCATACGTAGCAAGGCGTCTAAAGATCGTAATCCAAGTCTCCTATCTAGCATATGCATTGGTGCGCAGTCCACGTCGATTTCTCCAGCAACCTGTAACTACGGCAGCGCCTAAGCTGTACGATGAATTGTTTTATTAATTTTTTATCTTTCTTTTCTTTTTCGGTTCCATGCATGTTCCCATGAAACTTTAGTGAGTTGGCCTCAGGGTCCAGAATAGTCTCGGGAGGCGGCAGTGCACCAGTGAAGACTAACTCTTGGGGCGCGCGCGTAATCGCTTACATCTGGCATTCCACTGGAAAGACTGATCAATCCAATCAATAATTCCCATTGTTTCCCAACCTCCATATCACAGATCGCGACGAAATAGAATTTAACCAAAAAATAAACAGACCCAACAAACTTCCGATATCCATAAACCCACTTGAGCACATGAAATCGAAACGCTAATCAAAGAAAAGGGCATTTTGGTTCCATGGAACATTCCACATAGTGTATGCGGAGTACAGGACTAACAATTATTTTCATAGAATTCAATCAAAGATCAAATGGAACCACCCCAGTCATATTTCAAACACGGCCAGTCAGCAATCTTATTACAAGGAACTAAA